AATCAAATACAAGCAAAAATGTATCCTTTTACATTGTATTTGAATTTTTATTGAGATGTTAATGTTGGAAGGGAACTTTACCAAAACAGGCAACATAAAAAAAAAACATTTCAAATCCTAATCTACTTGGATATTTTCACAGTTCAAACCTGGCGCTTCACGATGTAGCCTTGTTTAAACTATCTGAGATTGGGGATTCTGAGAGATTTCTACCCAGTTTTTTCAGGTTTTGGTAAACAAACATGATGACGTCACATTTTCTTGTTTAAAATTTGTTTGTCTTCTGGGATCAAAACATCAGACCTCAGAAACGTGTATACAGTAGGCTCTCCATTCATTCAACATCTGACCTCTTCTTTGTCTTTTCCACCTGACAAAATTTCTCTAAACTCAGTCAGTAGGAGCTGCACTGATGAAAAGACAAAACTAAACATGGGCCGATTTCAGTGTTTCTACCCCCTGATCCTTACATTCTTGTGTTTGGATGTTCATCGTTCTGAAAGATCTCCCAAAAGCCCATCAGTGAAAATCCCTCGCTCAGCAGTTTTCTAGTGGGGGCTCGACAGATAAAGCTTGATTGCAAAATTGAAACCAGCTGGTTGGATAGAGTTAGCAACTGGCTCTGGAACCGGTGCAAGTTTCATGCTATAGTAAGTTAAAGCTTCATGGCATTGAAATAGAAAATACATCGCCCTTTATTTACAGCGATTTCTATGAGGTGAAAGCATTTAGAGGTAAACACTTTTTACTAGGTAAAACGTGATGTATTTAACAAAATATCAAAATACAGAAGCTCTATTTTTCCGTCATTCAGTCTTAATGGCATGAATATGAAAGTATGTATTGAGTGAACCTCAGAAAGTAGGAAGAGTGCTATAAAAGTATGCCTTTATTGCAGTTTGCTTCCTCTGATATATTAAGTCTTACATACAAATTGGCATAATTTGATCTTTTTTACTGAGTGCAGTGGTCAAAGTACCTGCAGAAAACCTCCAGTTTGTCATGATTAAACTAAAGATCAGACCCAAATGCAGAGAAACCATTACAGAGAGACCAGGGAAAAAAGTTTAACAGGTTTATTGAGAAGCTTGTGGAGATTCCAGTGTTGCTCTGAACACTGCTCAACCAGTACTGAAAGGTGAGGGGAAGACACTGTGGTTAGTTCAGGTTCAGTGGGAAAATTGATTCTCGAACTTGAAGAGGAGAAAAGGTTTGTAGACTCACGTCTCCAGAAAAGTGGTTGACAATTTGACTCCTGTCGGTGTGGGGTGTTCCAGTGTTTGTCTCATTCGGTGGAGGGTGGACAGGGTTTAACCAGAATGCGGTTGTTTGTAGGAGAACGGAGACACTGACTGCCACTCAGATTTCCTGCGGTACTTGAATGAACTGTGGTACAGATGAATCCCTTGCTCAGTGTGAAACTCAAA